GTACCTATATATTAAAATCAATAAAGAAATTGAGACAAGATCTCGCTTTTAAAAAAAAAAAAAAAAAAAAAAAAAAAAAAAACTACTATAGTAATTTAGTGGAAAAAATTAATTCCAAACTATTATAATGTATGGATAGTGTTTTGGTTCTATTTTTGATAGATCATTCAGATTATATTAAATCCAGATTGAATTCATCTTAAATCATATATTAAAGCTAACTTTTAAGCATATGCTTATATCTGTTATTTAAGTTTTTTGACTAATCTGAATAAACATCTCTGATTTGAATAGCTAAATTATCTAAATTTAAGGATCAATTCAAATCTAGGATTACAGATCAAAACACTATACATAGATAAAATTTCTATTTGAAAAAATCTAATTCATGATATTCAAAACTTAAAATAACTAATAGCTTAATAATATTAATTAATGCTAATAATTTTTTTATTTTTTTTTTTTTTTTTTTTTTTTTTTTTTTTTTAAGAACTTAGCTACTATGCATGAATTACTTTTAGTTACTTCAGCTTATAACTCTGATAATAAATTAGGCTTATCAACAACCTATTTGAATGAGCTTTATCTCTCATGTAATATAATATTAATTTTACTCCATAATAGTTTTTGGCAATTAATAAAACTATCAAATTCATTACTTATTCCTTATTGTAGAGTTCTTAACAAATTGCAATCTGATACTGCTCATCTTTATGAAGTATTGCAGGCCTTTAGTAGAATCTTAAAAATATAGGAAAAATATGCTGAAGAAGATTTATCATAACATATGATCTTGTAGTTAGAACAAAAATAAAAACAATGAGAGCAGCTATTATTGCTATTGACTTTTCTTTTAAATCCTAATATCCATGATACATAGTTCAAAACAAGTACTAAAAATTTAAATTTTGCATACCTTGCTTAGTTTATCACCTATTATTATAAAGTATAATTTGGGTATCAACTAATTTGTATTTTGCTTAAACTAGAAAAATTTAGAAAACATAATTATCTATTTGATTTGGATTGTGTTTTGCAATAGAAGTAGTCCAAGGACAATTCTAGTTGTGTTATTTTCAGAGCTGCATAGACTGATATGTTTGGTAATTGTTGTAATAGTTTGTTGTCGGATATTTTGTTCGTATACTTCATAGGATATTAGGATCTTGTTCACTGTTTCAGAAATAATACGTCTAATACTTATAC